GGCATATCACTTCATGAGTGACACTGCGATACATCAAGCACATCAAGGCTTATCACGTCATGAGTGACATTACGATACATCCAGCACATCAAGGGATATCATGTCATGAGTGACATTGCGATACATCCAGCACATAAAGGGTTGTCACGTCATGAGTGATATTGCGATACATTCATCACTTTAAGGCATGTCACGTCATGAGTGACATTGCGATACATCCAGCACATCAAGGCATATGACGTCATGAGTGACATTGCGATACATCAAGTAGATCAAGGCGTATCACTTCATGAGTGACATTGCGATACGTCCAGCAAATGAAGGCATATCACGTCATGAGTGACATTGCGATACATCCAGCACATCAAGGCCTGTCACGTCATGAGTGACATTGCGATACATCCAGCACAGCAAGGGATATCACGTCATGTGTGACATTGCGATACATCAAGCATGTCACGTCACGAGTGACACTGCGATACATCAAGCGCATGAGGGCGTATCACTTCATGAGTGACATTGTGATACATCCAGCACATGAAGGCATATCACGTCATGTGTGACATAGCAATACATCCAGCATATCACGTCACGAGTAACACTGCGATACATCAAGCACATGAGAGCATATCACGTGATGAGTGACATTGCGATGCATTCAGCACATCAAGGCATGTCACGTCATGAGTGACATTGCGATGCATTCAGCACATCAAGGCATGTCACGTCATGAGTGACATTGCGATACAACCAACACATCAAGGCATGGCACGTCATGAGTGACATTGCGATACATCCAGCACATCAATGCATTTTACATCATAAGTGTCATTGCGATTCATATTTCACATCAAAGCATGTCACGTCATGAGTGACTTTGCGATACATCCAGCACATCAAGGTATATCACGTGATGAGTGACATTGCGATACACCGAGCACATCAAGGCATATCACGTGATGAGTGACATAGCGATACATCAAGCACATCAAGGCATATCACGTCATGAGTGACATAGCGATACATCCAGCACATCAAGGTCTGTCACGTCATGAGGGACATTGCGATACATCCAACACATGAGGGCATGTCACGTCATGAGTGACATTGCGATACATCCAGCACATCAAGGCATAACACGTGATGAGTGACATTGCGATACATCCAGCACATCAAGACATATCACGTGATGAGTGACATTGCGATACATCCAGCACATCAAGGCACCTCACATCATGAGTGTCATTGCGATACATCCAGAACATCAAGGCATATGACGTGATGAGTGACATTGCGATACATCCAGCACATCAAGGCTTATATCGTCATTAGTGACATTGCGATACATCCAGCACATCAAGGCTTATCACGTCATTAGTGACATTGCGATACATCAAGCACATCAAGGCTTATCACGTCATTAGTGACATTACGATAGATCCAGCACATCAAGGGCATATCATGTCATGAGTGACATTGCGATACATCCAGCACATGAAGGGTTGTCACGTCATGAGTGACATTGCGATACATCCAGCACTTTAAGGCATGTCACGTCATGAGTGACATTGCGATACATCCAGCACAACAAGGTATATCACGTCATGAGTGACATTGCGATACATCAAGCACATGAAGGCATATCACTTCATGAGTTTCATTGCGATTCATATTGCACATCAGAGCATGTCACGTCATGAGTGACTTTGCGATACATCCAGCACATAAAGGCATATCACGTCATTAGTGACATTACGATACATCCAGCACATCAAGGCATATCACGTCATGAGTGACATTGCGATACGTCAAGCACATCAAGGCATATCACGTCATGAGAGACATTACGATACATCCAACACATGAGGGCATGTCACGTCATGAGTGACATTACGATACATCGAGCACATCAAGGTCTGTCACGTCATGAGTGACATTGCGATACATCCAGCACTTTCAGGCATGTCACGTCATGAGTGACATTGCGATACATCCAGCACATCAAGGCATATCACGTGATGAGTGACATTGCGATACATCCAGAACATCAAGGCATATCACTTCATGAGTGACATTGCGATACATCAAGCACATCAAGGCATATCACTTCATGAGTGACATTACGATACATCCAGCACATGAAGGGTTGTCACGTCATGAGTGACATTGCGATACTTCCATCACTTTAAGGCATGTCACGTCATGAGTGACATTGCGATACATTCAACACAAGAAGGCATATCCCTTCATGAGTGACATTGCGATACATCCAGCACATAAGGGCATGTCACGTCATGAGTGACATTGCGATACATCCATCACATCAAGGCAGGTCACGTCATGAGTGACATTGCGATACATCCAGCAAATCAAGGCATTTCACATCATGAGTGACATTGCGATACATCAAGCACATGAAGGCATATCACTTCATGAGTTTCATTGCGATTCATATTGCACATCAAAGCATGTCACGTCATGAGTGACTTTGCGATACATCCAGCACATCAAGGCATATCACTTCATGAGTGACATTGCGATACATCAAGCACATGAAGGCATATCACTTCATGAGTGACATTGCGATACATCAAGCACATGAAGGCATATCACGTCATGAGTGATATTGCGATACATCAAGGACATCGAGGCGTATCACTTCATGCTTGACATTGCGATACATCCAGCACATGAAGGCATATCACGTCATGAGTGACATTGCGATACATCAAGGACATGAAGGCACATCATGTCATGAGTGTCATTGCGATACATCCAGCACATGAAGGCATATCACTTCATGAGTGACATTGCGATACATCCAGCACATCAAAGCACGGCACGTCATGAGTGACATTGCGATACATCCAGCACATCAAGGCACGTCACGTCATGAGTGAGATTAAGATACATCCAGCACATCAAGGCATATATCATCATAAGTGACATTGCGATACATCCAGAACATCAAGGCATGTCATTTCATGAGTGACATTGCGATACATCCAGCACATCAAGGCATGACACGTCATGAGTGACATTGCGATTCATATTGCACATCAAAGCATGTCACGTCATGAGTGACATTGCGATACATCCAGGAGATTAAGGCATATCACGTCATGAGTGACATTGCGATACATCCAGCACATCAATGCATGTCACATCATAAGTGTCATTGCGATTCATATCGCACATCAAGGCATGTCACATCAAGAGTGACATTGCTATACGTCCAGCACATCAAGGCATGTCACGTCATGAGTGACATTGCCATTCATCCAGGAGATTAAGGCATATCACGTCATGAGGGATATTACGATACATCCAACACATCAAGGCATATCACGTCATGAGTGACATTACGATACATCCAACACATCAAGGGATGTCACGTCATGAGTGACATTGCGATACATCCAGCACATCAATGCATGTCACATCATAAGTGTCATTGCGATTCATATCGCACATCAAGGCATGTCACGTCATGAGTGACATTGCTATACATCCAGCACATCAAGGCATGTCACGTCATGAGTGACATTGCCATACATCCAGGAGATTAAGGCATATCACGTCATGAGGGACATTACGATACATCCAACACATCAAGGCATGTCACGTCATGAGTGACATTGCGATACATCCAGCACATCAAGGCATGTCACGGCTGCCTGTTAATATTAAAATCCCGTTCAAGGATCAACTATGAGCGATGGACCTGATATCACCCTGTTACTCAGCCGACACATTTTATATCTTCATCGACTCGAACCCGCATCGAATGAAGGAGGTCGTGCACTCGGCAACAGCGATATGTACACTCTGTGTGAATTTAACTAAATTAAATAATTGTTATAACTATTTTATGATATTATGAGGCAAAAAAGAAGTATGTATTGTGTGGTTATAAAACAATGTTACCTAAAACAATATTCATGTCAAAGTAATGGGATAACACTTTATGAGAAATGTAAAACAACAACCTGATACACATGTATCCTTGTCCCGGGCTGTACATGTTATGTTCTCAAAACGTGCTCGCGATTTATAAAATACTTGTTGAGGGCCCCACGAAATTGTCAACCATGTACTGATAAACTTGCGACAGAGCGCGTGTGTCAGCAGCATTTGTACATTTCACTCGCATCACTCAAGAGCGACTCACAAAGTATGAATACAAACTACAAACAGTTGTCATTTATGTTTTGTTTAAGATAATCATGTCTGATATTAGAGTCATTTGTCGCAACTGTCGGCTCGTGAGCAGAAACCTCCTGTGTTCTCCTTCACCGTGACGGTGGATAAACCTTCTGTTCAGTATATAGTGACTGACATTGTCCTATTTCCGTACTTCCTCTTAACCCCTTTTCATTTTTAGTTTATGCACAAATTGTTCATCATTATATTTTTTCCAAACGTGTTTCAAACAAATACGTGAATGTAATTATCACAATGTAAATAATAGTCTGGACTAGCCAAACCAGTGGTTGACATCATGAGCAACAGTCAGTCACACCTCACGTTGTAAACATTGGATGCTCATTTACTGATTTTATATAAACTACGAAAACCCTTGGACATATTCTGCAAAGAAATCGATTAAATAATAAGCAGCTAGCAACAGGTCGACACCCTGACATATTACGGGAGACAATGTCACAACATCAAAGGAGAAGGAACATGCATCGTTGTACTCATGCGAGGCTGACACATGACTTCACCTGCTTATGGGGAAGTGCACTCGATGAAGCCTTTTGACGTGTTACGAGCCATGCATTACATTATATGTAAATATGTGTGTTGCCATGCGTGATCTACTTCTTTCATACAGACAAACCCAAACAGCAACTATCTTTTTTAAAACGCTATTTTTGTTCATTGTACTAAGCATATCGTTTCGGTTTATTTGGGCACATCAAATGTCAATATATAGTTTGTGTGTCATGTGAAACGTTTGGTGTCATAAATATCAGTCACATTTGTCCAACGGAATTCACTTCTTGGTGGTTCACAATGAACAAATCTAAATAGAAACGTAATATTCTTCCTGGTCTGTGCGCCAGTGTCACAATGGCGGTGTGGGCCAGGGTTGTGTTTTTGGTGGCCAGTCTGAGTCTCGCAGCAGGTAAGTACATTCTTTACCTACATGAGTTTGATCACAAGATATTTGAGTATCATTGTTCATTAATGAGTTCTACTTTTACACATTCGTTGAGACACGTGTACCGAATGGTATGTCGGACAACATTGTCATTGTTGAACTAGTACCTGACAATCACCTTGTATCATATATATGGAAAGTTATACCGGTGAACTCTCTCAATATACTTAAATGTCGCCTGATAGACAACTGACAAAAGTGTTTAATTTATTTACTGTCACAATATAATTATGTCATACATGGTAATGAATTATGCAATGGTGGTATGTCATCTTAATATGCTGAGATGTTGTATGGCCTCCAAGGGCTCGTGGAAGAGCGTCCGCCCGGAGAGCGAAAGATCCGAGGTTCTATACCCGGCCGCGTCATACCAAAAGACGTTAAAAGATGGTACTTGTTGCTACCCTGTCTGGCGCTCGGCATTAAGGGGCTAAAGCAAAGACTGGTCGGTTCGGAGTCAGTGTAGTGTGTCTGAGTGGGGTATTCATGTTAAACCGCAGCATGGTATCTAAGTGGGATAGCACTATAAAAGTACAATTATCTGGGACGCGAGGCTAAACCCTATTACCCCTCACCTATATAACAGACAAGCATGTACGTTCATTGTATCACTAACGCGACGGGGCGGTCGGGTAGCCTAGTGGTTAAAGCGTTCGCCCGTCACGCCGAAGACCCGGGTTCGAATCCCGACATGGGTACAATGTGTGAAGCCCATTTGTGGTGTCCCCCGCCGTGATATTGCTGGAATATTGCTAAAAGCGGCGTAAAACCAAACTCACTCACACTCACTAACGCGACAACTGTGGCCTGACGGGAGCACTGTAGCCGAGATACACACACATATAGGCCCTATGATCACTAGTTAAACACAAATCTAGCCTTTAATGTTTGCTCGCGTCGATAGTGGGAAAGGTTGAGTCGCCTCGTCTCGCCACCCAACTTTACTTCCTGATTGACTGTCACGGTTAAAACAACAGGCTTGTTATTGTGTGGATACCATCATCATCATCATCATCATCTTTTATTCCAATAAGACCGCTCACAGCGGTACATGGTGTACAGTTACAATGTGTAGCAAATATATTACAGATGCTGTTGATATATGTTTACAGCATTAAATATACAATGGATGAATTTACTCAATTTTCTGACAGTATAAATCTTTTGGCAAGTCATTAACTGTTGAAGCTTGTAATAGTTTGGATAAGTATAGTCATATTCTTGGAGATATTGTTCTCGTTCATATTAAAATATGGACATTTGAGTAGGTAGTGGTATTCATCTCCCACAGAGGAATTGCATAAATGCCATAGTCGTCTTCCAAATGGTATATATTTTCCACCTCCCTGTTTCTACAGGTAGAAAATGATTGGTTGTTCGAAATTTTAGCAAGGGAATGGAGATATTTACACTCTAAGATAAATATTGTTCTAGACTAAAGTTGGGTTTTATACAACTATAAAATAAACCTTTTGATGATGCCGTTTGGGCACTGTGCCAGTTTTGAAGAAAATGGTTCTTTAATCTGTGTTCCATTAGATTTAATAATAACTCTTCACTGTTTACTGTCTGATTGTGCCAAACATAAGTTAAACCACAGCTATCCAGAATGTTTTTGACATATATCAACCAAGGTAAATGAAAAATGTTATTACAGTGTTTTTGATATAAAGTCTTATACATGACAACAGAGAGCTTATTTACATTTTGTGGCAATATCAGGTTGCACCAAAAGGCCAATACTCGTTTTTTAACAATAATATCGAGTGGTAGGCGACCTGTCTCGCCATATAGCATATAAGTTGGTGTGCTCTTACGTAATCTTAAACTTAATTTTAAAAATAACTTGTGGACATTTTCAATGATAGAAAAGTCTGTAAAACCCCAGACTTCACAACAGTATAGAAGAATTGGGACAACCATGTTTTCGAACGCAATAAATAAACAAGCTAATGGTAGATTTAAGTTTCTAGCTTTGGATAACAAATAATACATAGCTTTAAGTCCTTGTTCCTTAAGAGATATTATGGCTTGGTTAAATAATCGGTTCATGTGAAACTTTATACCTACATGTAGATAAGTGTAACAATCACAATTATCTAGTTCAACATTATGAATTTTAAAAACATACTTTTTCTTACGCAGAATAATTGCAGTGCAAAAGATTATAACCTTTGTTTTTCGCATATTTATCTTGAGTTTCCATTCAGTGCAGTATTTCTCGAAATTATCTAAACAGTGCTTTAGATCTTCAGGGGATTTAGCAAATAGCACCGTATCATCAGCGTATAAAAGAAGGAAAAGTTAAAGTGTACCAATGTTGATACCATCACAATTATTAGATTGCAAATAGGTTTCTATGTCGTTAAAAAAATAGCAAATTACAAAGGCGACAGATTTTCTCCTTGACGGACACCATTATCACAGTTGAAAAAACCCAGATATTTGACTGTTTAGACAAATACATGACTTAATATCATTGTACATATTCCTTATAAGATTAAATAATTTTCCTGAAATACCATAGCTTACAAGTTTAAGCCACAGTCCGTTCCTCCACACATTATCAAAGGTTTTTTGGAAATCGACAAAATCACAAAATATTTTTTTACAAGAATATGTCAATAGTTCAGTGACACTATTCAAAACGTAGACATTATCAACAGTATAGTATCCTTTACGGAATCCGGCTTGAGCTTCAGATAGTATTTCATTACTTTCAACATAACGTGTTAAACGCAGATTAATAACACTTGTAAACAATTTCCCTAGACAGGATAAAATGGTTATTGGTCTATAGTTTTCTGGTTTGGAAACATCCCCCGTTTTCTTATAAATTGGTTTGATCATTCCCATTAACCAGGGTTCAGGCAAATGCCCTGTCTGTAAAATTAGATTAAACAGTTCGCAATACAGTTTTAAAAGAATAGATTTGGTTGAAATAATATATTCATTTTCAATCATGTCTATACCTGATGCTTTCTTATTTTTAAGTTTATTAATTGCTTCTTCTATTTCTTTAGTGTCAAAGCTTTTGTTGAGATCAATATCAATGTCGTTTGGCTGTGTGACAAAACAGTCACTTTCATCTGTAGCACTATTAATGTCTTTAAAGTAATTATAAAGTTCATCAAATGAGACATTCTTGGAGCTAGGGCCAGGATTATCTTTAAAATATTTCCAAAAACCTTTCACATCGTGATGGGCCATATAAGAAAACTTGCCTTTCATAAAATGCACATGATTTAAATACTTTTCCTTTAAGATTCTTTTGTAGTCTTTATTAACTTATTGTAACACAACCTTATCAAGAGGGGTTTTTGAAACTTTAAATTTTCTTTTTCCCCCTGTATATTCTTTTCATATTACGACAGTCTTGGTCATACCATTTATGAAAGTTATTTTTAGGCTTGAACTTATGAGCTGTTTTTTTAGTACCGAACACATCACCAGCTGTATTCACAAACAATGTGGTTTGCTCTGATACAACATTATCGATAACACACACGTGCTTTTTTCTGTCATGCTGTTGATGCGCGCGAGGTCAACACCTGTCACGAACTGTTGTCGTTTGTCCACATCGAATCATCGTGGCTTCCCCTCGTTAGAAGGTGTGTCAGGTAGCTCTTGCCAGGTGTCAGCTGCCTGTACCTCAGGTAGTAAAGTCAGCTGGAGGGGACAATGAGCATCACTATATAAACAGTCGAAGTCCAAGATTTGAAAGACTTTGGTTAAAGGGACAGCTTCATACGATGACACGACATAATCAATAACACTACAGTCTTTACAGGTGACAGCACCGATGTTTTTATCTTTTCCCAATCTTCCGTTTAATATAAGAAGAGGCAAAGTTTTACACATTTCAATGAGTTTACGACCATGTCTATTTGGTTCGGACCTGTCTTGAGAGACTCTTATTGGCGACACGTCGTTTAATTAAAAAATATCATTATCCTTAAAGTACTCCATCTCAGAGTCGTCTACACCAATGGAATGGCTAACAGTGGTGTTGATGACACAGGTATCTTCAAGAATACTCGTATGGGCATTAAAATCTCCTAAAAGATAGAAATATCTTGTAATGTCTCGTATATTAAGAATATCACTTGACAAATCCTGAAAATGACTGTCGCTTGCGTACCTAGAGTTAACAGGTGGGATATAAACATATCCAATACAAAGATCACTATCTGTACTTAGCATTACCATATTGATACGTATCCATAAGGATATATCATTGTCAGATTGGACAACAGTAACATAAGGTGCTATTTCATTTTTAATGAGAATTCCCAAACCTCCTGACCTTCGACCTGTCGTGTTTCTATTTTGGAGAATAACAGTATAATCTTTGATGTTTATACTAACATCCAACTCATCTGTTTTGGGTTCTTATAGACCAATAATATCACAGGAATTGAGAAGTTTATGAAACTCTGGATATTTTAACTTACTGCGAAATCCACAAACATTTAGAGATATAACTTTCAATTGTTTGGTATTGGGGTTACTTTGTACACATACTTCACTGGATATTAACCCATTTCTTTCATCCACGCTACTGGTACCAAAGACTGTATTAACACTTGTATTATGGTAAACCAAGGGCAAGTTATTATTTCTATTAGATTGGTTTTCTGATTGTTCAGCATTGACAGCAGGCTGTGAGTAGTGTCCGCTGTGAGTGTCCTATGTTCTCGGGTTCGAGGTATCCATTGAAGGGTGTAAACTGAGTGGAGAACGGGTGGCCATGGTGAACTCTTTCCTGGGTGGGGGTGGTCGGTATGGGGGAGAGGTATCTGGAAAGAACTGTTTGCCATCAATGTAGATTCTGTCCACGACAATACGGCACTTCTTGTTATCTGTTCTTGCTTGTCTCATCAAAGGGTACAGAACCAACTTCCGGTACTCTCTCACGGCATCAGGGAACTGCTCTGCAACTGTGTATGGAGAACCTTTCAACT